ATAACTATTTGGCTCATCATGTTAGTGGTGACCCCCTGAATCGCATTGACATGTTCCAGACCGAGCAACAGGAACAAATCATCCGCCAAGTCCCCAACTATTGCAGGGGGGGCCATGGATGAGGTCTTGACCAAAGTAGGATATTGTCACTGGACTTCCAGGGTGCACCAGCTTTGCAGTCCCGAAGCCTCCGGGGTGGGTGAGGATGACTGAAGCCTGCGGGCAGCATCGACTGTTGACCATGTTGACCATGTTGACCGCTGAGGAATTTGCCACGTACGCGTTTGAGTGTGGAGCCGCTCCAGGGTGTGGTCATGAGCCTTCGTTAGCAGAGCGAGCTGGGAAGTGATAGAAGTGACTGGGTGTGTAGCTGATGCACACTCCCCCACAAGCATGGTGTGTTTTCCAGGCTTTCCTATGTAATTAGCTGATGTCCACGTCCACGATGGCGAGCGAGCAAGCTGACACGACCTGACTGGAGTCGCGAAAGGGGCTGCCCATCTTGGCTCAACCAAAACGATCTTAAAGAGACATTTTATTTAATAGATGTTTATTAATTACTTACTAATAGCTTTTTGTTACTACTAGTAAGGCACTTGTTGCTACTAGCGTGGCACTTGTTACTACTAGCGTAAGACACATCGCTCCGATGGATGCCGACGACAACGAAGCGATGCTGCGCTTCGCACCGGTGCCCCCCAAGGAGTTGGAAGGGTCTCATCGGGTGGATCCAGCCAGAGCGCCTCGGCGCGGAGAGAAGCGAGTCCGCGGGTCGTCCAGCGGGTCGTCCAGAAGGTACTCAAAGCAGTCGTAAGCAGCAGCAGAAACCAGACCCTAGGCCCTAGGGATCCAAATATACCTTCTCAGAAGGTGGGACTGGGGTGGGTATACTTGGATCCCTTTCAGGAGAAAAAGTGCGGGAGTCAGTGCTCAGGTTCAAAGACTGCTTGGTGAGGGCGCTTTTGGGCTTGGAGGGCCTTTTTGTGTGTGTGTGTGTTGTTTTTATTGTGTTGTTTTGATGTGAATGTGTGACAGACCTCAGTTCATTCTGCCTCTCCTGAAGCAGAATCACGCTTGTGGGCCACTTGTCTGGATTGGCACTGGCCATCATTTGCAAAGAAAGTGGTCTCATGCCTCCGTTTTTGTTTTTATTGTGTTGTTGTTGTGCATTGCTGCCGCGTTGCTTTTAGGCTTACATCAGAAAACATGTTAAACTGCATTGCTCGCCTCGACGGCGTGATGGGGATCGAACTCAGGAACCACACGTCAAGCGAGGAGGGAGGGCTACCCCATCGGTTTCGAGGTTCTTAACGGATAGAACATGATTACATGTTTATATACCTGGATCTTCAAACGGCACAAATTTTTGCCGGAGGCATTTTTTGGTGAAAAGACGCCGTAATCAAAAAAAAATGCAGTTTTTTGGGTTGTACAAAATCCATGGACGGGGAAAGACGCCGTTTGGACGCCCAAAGACGCCGTTTGGACGCTTAAAGACGCCGTTTCTTTTTGCTTTCTGCCGGCGTGCGCCTCGTCACAACAAAAAAAGCCGTCTTTGGAAAAAGACGCCGTAACGGCATTTTTTCCTGAAAAGGCAATTATTTGTGCCGTTTCGAAGATCCAGGTATTTACAGCCTTCGGCATGCCGCCGGCCACCAGCTCGAGCCCGCATTGGCAGGCAGCTTAATGATACAATACCCTGATCAATCATACTTGTTGGTGCATTGGAGGTGCACATTTGGCTGGGTGAGTTTGTTGATGTTTATTTCAAGGTTGTTTGACCATGAAATGGAACGAATCCGAATCAGAGGTTGTCTATTCTGATCCAGCGATCGACATGTCTCAGTCC